TGGTAGAATATTATTGCATATATTCTGAAAAGCTTGATTTATTAAAATGAGTATTAAATGATCCTAAAGTTAAAGCAATTCTGTTATTAATATTGAAATACTTAGAAAAGGTATAGGGAGTTCGAAAATCGATTTACAAAAGAAAAGCTAGATTAATATAAAATATCTGAGCTATTAATTTGATGAATTCGATTGTTTATTTAATTTATATATAATAGTAAACTATATAATAGTTTTAGTTTACTTGGAATAAATAAGCTCTTGAGAGGGGGTATTATTACGGGTTTAATACATAGTTATATGAATGCCTTAGGTATTTGCTCTTTATATAGTCAACGCCTCTCCGCCTTTTTCTTCACTTCTTATAGAATATCATACATCTTACCTAGTACCTACCTCTTGCGCCGTGATAATTTCAATATTCAATTGAATTTATATAATCATTTTATTTTATTTATTCTTTAATACTTTTAAATAATTAAAAGTTTTATAAAATACTTTTAAAGTATAAAAAATCTAATACTTTTTTCTATCTTTCTTTTTTTCGATTTCTAATTTTTTAGGAGTTATTCTTGCTTTTTAATTATATACATTTTTAGTTTTTTACTTTTATAAATATTCTTTTTGCTTTTTCTATATCTTTTTTTTATTAAATTTAATAATTCTCAGTATTTTTTTGATTCTTTAAAGTTTAAAAGAATTTTAATATTTTTAGTATAAAGTTTATTATAATTAAAAATATATTATTTATATTTATAATATTTTTAAATTTGGAATAATTATATTTTATAAAAACAAATATTATAATTAATTAAAATATATAATATATAATATATAAATCTACAAATATATATTTTTAGTTTTTTAATTTTCAATATTCATTTCTTTCAAACCCTATTCTTAAAGCTTTTTAGATATAGATTTCTTGAATAATTGAAACTTTTTTTATAATAAATTAAAATAATTCAAATATAAATTTTGAAAACTCTATATTCCAAATAACTCTATATTTATAATATAAATTATAAATATATTATATAAAAAAACTATATTATATATTAATTTCAAAAAGAGATTAATAAATAAATAAAAACTAAATATAAATGAAAGATTATCTTTTTTTAAAAATAAAAATATAAAAAAAGCTTTAAAAACAAAGACTCAAAATATAAGAAAATAATCTAAAAAAAAAGTAACAAAAATTATTAAGAAAGTTTATTAATAAAAAACAAAAAGTGAATAAATATATTTTTATTTTAAGTTTTTTTTTTATTAATTAGATATAATTATTATATTACAAAAAATTAAAAAATATTAAAAATCGATTAAATTGCTTTTGAAAAAAGTTTTTTTTTAATATTTAATTAAAAAGGTTTTGAATTAATTTATATATATAAAGGAATATTGAAAATGAAATACTATTATTTTTATAATAATTTAAGAGGTAATTGAATCCTTTATAATTATTTATTTCGAAAGTATATTTTCTATTCTTTTTATTTATTAATTAAGTAAATTATTGATTTAATTTATAATACTATAATATTATATATTTTATGTAAAAAGACAAATTATTAAAAATACTAATAATATTTTTCTTTAAAGAATAATAGAGCTAGCAACCCCTATTATTAATAAATATTATATTTTGAAAGGCTAAACTTTACTATTTTCTTATTAGTTATTTCTTATTAGTTGTTTTTTATTAATTATTTCTTATTAGTTATTTCTTATTTGTTTAGTTCTATATATTTATTTTATTTATTTCATATATTCTTAATTAATAAATAGATATTGAAAATATTTATATATTATTAATATTAAATAAAATAATAGTATTAAGAAATATAATATTAATATCTAATTGAATAAATATAAAGATTATATTAATAAAAATATATAATAAAGAAAACAGAATTATCAAATCAAAAGTTATTAAAGCTTAAAAGCTATTCTTTATTTATAACTTATTATAAAGAGATAGATAATATATAAATTTCCTTTTCTTTCTTTTTGTATTACTTTTTAAGCTCTTTATAAATCTTATTTACAAACTTTACTTGAAATAGATCTATGCGTATAAATATTAGTAGCTTATTATAAGATTGATATATACTAAATATTAAATATTATAAGAAATCAACAAATTTAAAAACTATATTAGCTTTTAAAGCCTTATACTTACTAGAATAGTTTTATATAATTATATAATATACTTAATGCTAAAGGGATAATGGATTATTGATTTGAATATATAAAACACTAAAATAGTTTCTTGATTTATTAAAATCTTTTAAAGATTTATTTATATAAAGTAAATTATCTGTAATTTTAGAAGAAATAGTTTTTCGAAATCTTTTTAATAATATATAGCTTATAATAAACTATTTATATTACTCCATTTCTAATTTTAAATTAATTAATAATAAAATATATCTTAAGAATATAAATCTTTTATTTTATATATTTTAGAATTATATTTATTTTATTTTTTAATACTTTTATTTAAAAGAAATATAAAGTGAATTAAATTAGTAAAATTATTTTTTTTATTTGATAAAATAATTATTAATTATATTAAAGTTATAGAGTAATATATAAATTTATTATTAGCTATATAAGTTTTGAATAGAAATTAAAGAATTGATTAGTTTTTTATATAATAATTTTGATATTAATAATATTTTTGATTATTAGTTTTGCTTATTTATAAAAGTATTTTTCATAAATAATTAGGTATATAAGATTATATAATATCTGCTTTTTTATTGAATCTAATATCTCAACTAAATAAATTAAAAAGATATTGATATTCTATATAATATCCTTTAATCTAAATAAAACTAATTAAATCAAATAAATAATATAAAAAGAAAAAATCCATACCAATATGATTTTCTTTTTAATTTGATTATTAATTAGATTCTCGATATTATTAGTATTAAATTAATATTTTAAAGAGATAATTTATACAAATTGATTATAATAAAAAATTCTTTATTTAATAAATTAATCTGATTGTTAATTAGTTTTTTATAAATGAGTTTATATTAAGCTTAAAAAAAGCTTTTTGTAGAATTTTCATTTAAATTGATTTATAGATTTCTTTAAAATATTTTCAATTTCAATTTCTAAATCTATTAATTTTTTTTTTTTTTTAATAGTATTGATAAAAAGGCTTTTTTTATTTTCTAAATTATTATAGATATTATATTTTGGATTTTGATTAATGATATAGCTATTATTATTATTTCTTTTATTATTATTATTCTTATTATTATTTATATTAATATTTGTAGAGAATATTTTATTAACTTTGGAATTCTATTATATATTATAAATTAATATAATTAAAATAAGTTTTATTTGAATAAAATACTTATATATAACTTTTCTTTTTTGAAGAGAGTATTTTCTTTTGATTAAAAATAATATTATTATTATAAAAGAAATTGAATAATAGATTTTTAATAGAAAAAGAGAAAAAGGTATTATAATCTCGAAATTAATTTTAAGATTTATTTGCTTTTGCTATAGATTTAAGCTTTTATTTGAAATAATAAATTAGAAAAGAAAAGTTTCAAATTCTATTTTAAGAGCTTTTATCTCTTTTTTATATAAATATAAATTTTCGATTATTATTATTATTAATAATTTTTGATTTTCTAAATATTTTTGAAATATTTTAAATAGTAATTGTATTATTAATTATTGAAATAATTATAAAAAATAGCTTCAAAAATACTTTAAAATAAATTCTTTTTTTAAAAAGAAAAAAAAAATAAAAATAAAATCAAAATATATTTCTTTTATAATTCTAAACACTTTTTTAAAATTATTATTTATAAAAGTTTTTTATATAATTTCTAATATTAAATATAGGGTTTTAATATTGAATTAAAATTTAAATTAAATATTTTAGAAAAACTATAGATTATTTAGCGGATTTGATATATAAATTATAAAATCATAAATTAATAATTTGCTTTTTTTGAAATGGATTATTATTACCGCGGAATCCGTGGTGGTATAAAGAGCGGATTATTTCAGTGGATTCAGCGCGGATTTTGCAATCAAACGAGCCCTTACTTGCGACGTCGATGTGAAGCAAACGATGTTGAAGGATGTGCACGGACCATTTAACTGCTCTTACCACTCAAGTCTCTTTTTCCTCATGATGATAATGTCTTTGCCCTTGGCGATTAACGACCATCATTTTATAAATAAGATGGATAACTGTCGACTGCATGTGTATTACTAGATGTTCTCCTTCTACATACTAAACGAAAATTCGATCTTACGTTTACCAAGGCTATTTTAATCGTCTAGTTTCTACACGCGACACGAGATACGAGACCACCAGTGGGTGTACGGACTCACGGGACAGTACAAAAATGAACTTGTAAATATCTTTTGATATATTGAACCATTTATTTTAAAATTTGTTATATTTCTTGAATAAAGATAAAATAATCAAAATACAAATTCTGATATCAAACAATTGAAGAATGGATTTATTGAAAATATTGAAAATTGGGAAGTGTCCCGTCAGTCCATGCACCCACTGGTGGACGAAATGACTAGTATGTATGCGAGGTACACATCCCCTATTCCAGCAAGCACTCCTGTCACACTATCTATCAAAATGGCCGATCAATCCACCAAAATCTGTATCAGAAAGCTTGTTTTCAATTCTTTTCATCAATTGATAAGAACCTGCATAAATTGGAACTTCTCCTTCCCACAAATCTTCCCAATTAGTTGGTCGGTTGTTTCTTTGTGTCCCCTGTCAATATGACGTTATGCACATTAGACAACATTGGCACCAAGATTTTACAAACATATGAGCCGTGTCGGTGGGTTTGCAACGCGTATGGAAGCGATAGGTAATATGTTGTAGGATAAGTTGAATGTTTCTTACATCTTGTAGTAATTCCCTCGATATCTACTTTCTTTCCTGACTTTCTCGTTCAATTACTGGTAAAAGCATCAGGAACACTATGGGAGGTTTGGATTCTGCAACCGAAGGAATTCTTCCTGTCTTTCTAGGAGCCCTTCAAGCCTCATTGACAGTTCTTTTAACAATAAGTTATGGAGTTATTGCATCGAGGTTTAATTTGTTGAAGGAGTCTTCCACAAGAGATATCTCGAAAACGGCTGTTAGATTGTTTCTACCAGCGCTTTTAATCACAAATGTTGGAGAGGAATTGAAATCGGATACTGCATATAGATATGTACCGGTGTTGAGTGAGTTTTGCCCAATTGTCTATGTATATACGAAGCTAACGATTGTGAAGTATGGGCTCTGATATATACTTTGTCATCAATGGCATTGGGAATGCTCCTTAAAAGAGCTTTTAAATTTCCCGCTTGGTGTGTACCAGCCAGTAAGCTCTCATTCCCCTCCCTATCCATATCCCTCAAGCTCAAACCTCTAACAGCATTGCAGTATGCTTCAACAACACTACCGCGCTCCCCCTCCTCTTGATCCAAGCCCTCGACACAGCCGGTATCCTCACCAACCTAACCATGTCCGAATCCGACACCCCCTCCGCAGCCCTCAGCCGCGCAAAATCCTATTTCCTCGTCTCTTCCATGGTAGGAAACAGTCTTACCTTCGCCCTTGGTCCTAGACTTCTAGACGACGAAGAAGCTCCCGACAAACCCGACAAAAACTCAAAACCAAGTCATACACACAGTCCCACTGAAAGCGACGAGGAATATGCGCATCCCACTAACTCCGCCGGACGAACCGCAGAAGAAGAGGAGGAATACTCAAATGAAACATCCACTCTTCTTCCACGCAGCGTTGCCCGAAGCAGAACTACTGCTGCCAAAAAGTCGAAGCAAGAATGGAAGAAAATACCTCTCAAGATTCGAAACGTAATATCAACTCTCTATAGTTTCATCAACGCCCCTCTCCTGGGTGCTCTCCTCGGTGCTCTCCTAGGCCTCACTCCCCCTCTCCACCGCATCTTTTTCGCCTCCCCCTCATCCGGCGGTATCTTCAAAGCCTGGCTCACCACCTCCCTCAAAAACATCGGCGAGCTATTCGCCGCCCTCCAACTCGTCGTCGTAGGCTCCAAACTTTCCTCTTCCCTCTTACGCATGAAGAAAGGTGAATCCAGCGGAAAAGTTCCCTCACTTGTCGTCCTCACCATCTGTTTCATCCGCTTCATTTTATGGCCTATCATCAGCATCGGAGTCATCTACCTCATTGCTTCCCACACAGGATGGTTGGATAACGATCCCACATTATGGTTTGTGTTGATGTTGATGCCGACGGGGCCACCGGCTACAAAACTCACAGCGCTGGCGGATGTGAGTGGTGCGAACGAGGAGGAGAAGATGGCGATTGCGAAGTTTATAACGGTGGCTTATGCCATTAGTCCGTTGATTTGTTTTGCGGTCGTGGGGAGTTTGAAGGCGTCTTTGGCGATTAAGGGGTGAGAATCGAGGGGGCACAATAGTGAGTGTTTTTCGTGAGAAATAAGATTAGATGGGGAAGTGATATGCAATACGAGAAGGAGTTACTCTGGGTACATAGTGGGTATTTCAAGGATATACCTTAGGGATTTTTCGATAGATATAGAATTAGATAGAGTAAATCAAAAGTCGGCTTACATTCAAAACTGACCCCATTTCCCCTTTCCCCCCTCCGAACACTTAGGACACAAGTTCTGATCCTTCACTGTTCCCTCGTAACTTAGTTGAACGATTGTTTAATAGTTCAAAGTGCGTGCATATAAGATTGGTCCTCGCTATCTTTATACAAAATAACCCTTTGAATCCTTTTCCATTTACATCTCCGACTTGACATCATTTGTACTCGTGCTCAAAGGATCCCCGGACGGAGCTCGAAATTAATATCCATATTCCATCAATCCTCACCTCACCACTTGAATTGAGTTAAACAATCAAAAGAACATATTCTGTTATGCAACATTATATTGAGTACATTGGATACTAAGGTAAAGCATCCAGGTATCTATAGATTATGGATCACTTTTTAACACAACGCCGAGACTCCTACAATGCACTCGTTCTATACATCGGTATCTGTCTTCAAATCTCGATTCCCTTCCCCATTTCATCCACTTATCTCCATATCACATGCCTAGATCATGCTCAAGATCAAACTCGAGCCCATATTACCCACCATCTTTTCCTTTCCACCCTTTGCCTTCTTTGCAGCACCCTTTCCACTGGCCTTCTTGTCCTTTTCCTTTGCCTCGAACTCTTCTCTCTTACTCTTCTGTTCCGCAGTCTCTTCCTTTGCCGCTTTCTCCAACTTCTTTTTGTTTTTAATCAAAACTTTCTTAACTTCGTCCTTCTTTCCAAAGGATTCGGATTCTAATAATGCAACTACCACGAAAGAACTGGATCCAGTGGCCCATTCGACAATGAACTCCTTAATATGGGGATATAAGATATCCGCAAAGTTCAATGCTGGTACGATTGGCACAACGGACTTAGTAGCTGGGTCATAACGACCGCCTGCAATAAGAGCTTTAATCATCTTTCCACCGAAAGGTGTGCTTGCGATATGGGAAGGAGGTTCTGTACTCATTGCACCTTCCTCGACAGGAGGTTGAATATATGTTGGGTCTCCAGATACAGCTTCGGCGAGTGCTTCAAGAGCTGCTGATTTATCACCTTCGGCGCCAAAGAGAACCTCAGTTACGAATTGACAACCGAAAGATGTGGCGATGAGTTCTCTAGCTGCAGAGGCGATAGCCTTGAGGAGGTAGGGAGAGAGAGACTTGACTAATTCTTGGCGACGGATTTCTGGATCTTTCTTAGAGGTAGTAGTTTTGATTGTATCAACTTCAGCGAGTATTTCGAGATCGGAGTTATGGCTTGCTGGGAACAGAGATTTTGAGCGACCTTGGAAAAGGTAAAGAAGTGTAGTACGGGCGTTGAGGTCGTTAGCGGAGAATGCAATGTTTTCGACTTGCTTCTCTTCGTCCTTGCTAAGCAATTCTGGGAAAATAGACTTCGCAGTCAAGACGGTATCATCAATGACTTCGTATGCGGTGAGGATGACGATATGTCCATTTGGATCTCCTGCCATCAATTGTAATGTATCCTTGTACATCTTGAGGATATGTTTACGGTCCTTGGCACCTCCATATGCTAAAGCAAGACAAACGACTCTTGCTCCAGACTTAGTGAATGCCAAGTTCTTCATCAAATCGCCTTCCTCATCTCCCTTCAATAACTCGATAAAGTCGGTGATCTCCTCAGTACCTGGCTTAGCATTGAGGAAGTATTGCAACATAGCATCGTGAAGGAGAGTGAAACCGTTGGTTTTCTTCTGTAAGAGATGGTTGATCATTTCTTGTAGATATCGCATGATAGGTGCTCGCTTTCCAGGTTCAGCAGCCAAAATCTCTGAGAGCTCTCCAGTCAAGAATGTAGAGGTATCTCTCTCCATAACGGCGAATTCAGCGCCATACCATTCTCGAAGAATAATAGCTCTCTGTTGCTTGGTAGCGACTCCACGGTAGATATCATCGAGAATCCATCCAGCTTCAGGGTGCTTGATAAGTCGACGAACATGTCCATAAAACTCAGGAACAATAAGATCTCTAATTTGATCATCTCCCTGAACCAACAGTTTTCCAATCAAGAACTTGGCGTATCTACTCTCTGCTAATTGACGATATGTTCCCGCAAGCTCCTTTGCGATCAATCGTTTTTGCTCTGGGTTGGAATATTTGATTGCGGTTTGGACAACTCTTACACTGTCATGCTTAAGAACAAAGTCCTTGATTCTGCCAGTGATGAGCTCGAAAAGTTCCTCGACTAATTGTTTTCTCTCCTCCTTTGGGACATGCGACTTTCGGCGTAAACGTTCCCAAATCTTCTTCGTGCGTGCCAATTGATCTGCTAATGGTTTTGCCGCCTTTCTCTCATTTGCCAATTGTTTTTGTTTCGCATGTGCCTCTTTCGATGATTGACCTATGATGTGTAAGTATGAAAACCCTTAAATATAATGCTAGGAGGGAGCTCACTGTTTGCGGCAACAGCCTTAACTCTGTCTGGATGTAAGCCTTCTATGTCTTTCATTTCCGTATCTCCATCCTCGCTATCCGCAGAAGTAGAGTCCAAAGCAGCTCCTCCATCATCAGAGTCCGATTCCTCTTCACTCTCAGATTCGACCTTCTTTACAGGCTTAGATTTTGAGTCCTTTCCCTTTTTCCCCGAATCAATTTTCGCTTTTTTATTCTCCTTCACATGAACGTCTTTCGCAGGTGCCGACTTTCTCTTCACACCTGTCACCATTGTCTTCGATGTTGTTACTGGAGCCATTTTGGTACAATTGTTGATTTTATTTCCACGGATGGGCTGCCTCGTGGTTTACTTGGGGAACTTTTTTTTGTCTGATAAAAGATAAACTTTTTCAAATCGGCGCTAAGCTAATCTTGGGTAGCATAACTTTAACCCACCACCCCACGAAATATATCGAAGGCTTTTGTTTAAAGGGAAATAGTAAAGCGATTGCACAAGATGGGAAGAGAAGATCAAATTGAGGAGAGGGAGGTCCTCGACAGTATTTTTCCAGAGGAAATTCATGGTATGTTTGTTCTGGCGACAATTTTCAGCGCCGGGCTCCAGATTCTTGTCCTCCCCGCAAGAAACCCTCCTAACACTCTTCACAGATATATCAGAGACGGAATATCGAGTTTCGATTCTACTCGACGTGACAAACCAAGATGGCGATGAAACAGAACCTCCGACGATGCTTCTACAAGTGAAATACCCAGAAGAATATCCCGAAGAACCACCTATTCTAGATTTACTACCAACTCCGAATGCGCCTATTCATCCATTTTTCAGTGTCGCAAATGATAAACAAATTCTCCTTGATGGACTGGCGGAAACAATTGAGGAGAATATGGGAATGGCTATGATCTTCACATTGGTCTCTACTCTGAAAGAAAACGCAGAGCAACTTATTGCGCAAAGACAGGAAGCAAAGGAAAAGGAACACGAGCAGAAATTGTTGGCGGTAGAGGCCGAGGAAAATAAGAAGTTCCATGGAGAGCCGGTTACGAGAGAGTCATTTATGAAGTGGAGAGAGGGGTTCCAAAAGGAGATGGAAGAAATTAAGGTCAAGGAAGAAGCAGAGGAAGAAGCGGCAGAGAAAAAGAAGAATAAGGGGAAGGAAGCTGTTATTGCGCTTACTGGAAGACAGCTTTGGGAGAGAGGTATGGCTGGAAAGGTTGAGGAGGATGAGGACTATGATGATGTACCTATTGAGGGTGTGGATAAGTTGAAGGTTGAAGCATGATTATATGGTTACATATTATTCCCAGGTATGGAGTTGCATTGCTGGCGTTGGTTTGGGGCAATCTACAAAGAGATTTTGTCCATAAAAGTAGATATCATACGGAATAAAGTGAGAGGAGGATTAAAACATATCCAAACTCGCCGTTTGTAATGGATACGCAATGATCATTGCCATAAGTCTTTTCATTATCTATCAGTCATCACATAACAGCTCATTCGTTGCGCTCGCCCTGTACAAACGCCGTGATATACTTCCATGTCCCTTTGGAATCAAACACTTTTCGACCCTTGTACCCAGAAAATCTATTTTATGATTCGGCCATTTCTTCGTCATCATCACTATCCTCCTCCCAGCCCTCTCCATCGTCTCCAAGTTCAACCTTAGCGTTCGTGACCTCCTCACCCAATTCAGCGTTCAAAATCGAAATCAGCTCCTTGGCGTGAGCACCAAGGCGCTCATCTTCATAATCTTGTTGCTCGAAGAGTCGAAGACAATGGTTTAACCACTGTTGACTTGAAATCCAAGAGACCCTCCAACTCTCTCCATCGCCGTTACTCTCTTGTTGTTTGTTCTCCCCGTTCTTTTGTTTCTCTCCCATGATATACAATCCCCAACCACCCAAGTACCAAACCTCGACACTGGTATCATCTTCACCAACCAAGCGCTCTAGTACTTCGATGGCCTCTGTATCCATGTCCGCCTCCATCAACAATCTCGCGAGACTGACTTTCGTAGGGAAGTCCGGAACGACATCACTCTCGGGAGGTAAATCTTTCCACAAATCTAAACTTCTCTTCAATGCTGCTTGCGCATCTTCCATTCTAGTTTGTGATATCCTGACGTTTGCCAACGTCTGCCATGGTTCAGGATAATTTGGTGCGACCATAGTAGCTTCTGTGACCAATGCCTCGCATTTCTGTTCCGCATCCTCTTCCCAAGATAAATCTGTCATATAAACTTCGACGACACCGCAGAGCGCCACAGCCAACTTCCTCCTCTTCTCCTCCAGAGTAGCGAGCCCCGCCTCATCCAACTTATTCTTTTCTGCCTTCTCCAATAAAGCGCCAATCTGTGCCTTCAAACTAATGGCCCCCTTTTCATACCATCCGACACTATCCTCTCCACCCTCCTCACTCAACTGTGCCAACCATAAAAACTTTTCAGCTCCACCTCCAACTTCCTCACTCACCTCTCCATCCTCATCGATTCCAGCTGCTTGCATAAAATATTGTCTCGCCGAATCGACATCTCCCAATTCTACATGAATTTCTCCTAACAAATTTAAGACGGGTAGTGCTTCAATTGCTTGGACATCCACCAATTCCAAAGCTTTCTTCGCAAAAGGTACAGCACCTTCAATGTCGCCTTCTTGTAGACGATTCGTTGCTTTTAGTATCAAATCCATTGGGTTTGCGGGCGGTGAAGAAGCTTTTGTAGATTTTGCGGAGGTGCGATCGAGGGCAGCTTTTTCGCTTTTGTTATTTTTCTTGTTTCCTGGCTTTGTCTTCGCCATCTGAAAAGTTTTACGACGGTAGAAAAAGGTTCGATGGTTGAAGGGGTGATTGCTCGATGCTGAAAAAAAGTTTCTGGGGAATGGGCAGAAAACAACTTTTTTTCTGACGATAAGCTAGTCGATAACGCTAATCCTCGAATCTGCCCCGCCAAATTCCATCATAGGCACCCAACCTAGTAGGTCTTGCATTTTCCGCATTCTAGACAACCTGAAGACTGTAATTCCAGAAGTTTGGATTTCGAACTTGTGCTTGATCTGTTACCATGATTCGGAATCTTCTTGTCTATAGTTGAGAAAACATAAGACGATATAGAACAATTGTTTCACATGATTCTGTAAGTAGCGTAGAAACCGATGTCTCCTGAGCAGGCTTGCCATACCACACTACTAGTGATAGCCATACCCTCTAGCTTCGATTATCGCCTGTACTCGTTAGACGTCACAGAATAAGCCTTGTGTTATTAAAGTTTTACATTATCATTATACCAGCAGCTTTGCGGCATCTGTAATTGATGTACGACCCTCGCCACAATATTTCTAAGACCAGTTCCCAAGCGATTGTAGGTATACTGGTGCAGTATATACAAAAATTCAATCCAAACGCCTATTAACTTCTCCTTTCCAGAAGATTGATACTCATCATTACGCCCTAGCGAACCTCATCTATCTCTACCTTTGGAGTCGTGCTGTTTGGCTTCGGGATATTCCCGAGTTCTTCTCCTGTCCCACTTTGACCACGCTTTCTACCTGGCATATGGAACGATGGGAGTGCTTCATCGCCGAATTTCGAAAAGAACCCCTTCTTTTTGACCTGTTTGGCAGGGTCATTGGCGCTATCATTTAGCCCTACATCTTCGAATCCTTCTTCGGCCGTTGGTGGCTGTCTATCGAATCGTCTATCACCAATAGCAGATCGCTGCATTCGAGGTAGTCTTGCTGAATCAAGACTTTGTCGTCCAGCGTGTCCATCGATGGGGCTTATGGGCGATCTAGCGGAGATATCCTTGCAGAGATCAGAGACCGACCTACTTGCATCACGATTGTGGAAAATCTAGACTTACAAATGATCTTCTGTATGAATCAAACGACTCTCTTGAAATTGGGAAAGGATCAATCGCATCATTTGAGGTCGTTCGGGTATTGATTGAGGTTGCAGAAAGATTGCTCTTGCTGCGAGGCCAGAAACTCTTCTTTTCAGGCGGGGACGGCTTTGAGACTAGTTAGTTATATTGACATGTCGTGGGTTTGCCTATACTGACAGGTAGATACACGCCACTATCATTTACAACTATACATTTCTCCCGTTAGCCCAAGTTTTCCCATTGCTTCTGGGCGACCCTGGTTGCATCTAAACAAAGGCATCATACCACTCATTTTATACTCCGGAGGTTCTTCGCTCTTCGCCGTTTTGATACTCATCGAAGATGCTCGAGAAGCTTGTGTAGAAACTCGTTCGAAGGAAGGGCGGGGAGATACAGTTTGGTCTTGAGACGGCTGCAACCCAGCATCCTGTTTCCTTGCGAATGGATTTCGAATAATTGGCATTTTTAGGTCTTGTATAATGAATAACAGAATTGAGCAATTACGGGATATAAATCAATTGTCTTTGGAACTCACAACTTGGAAACGAAGTGGGCTGGGGAATTTGAACCATTCGAGTACTGAACTTTAAGACTCGAGAGTTTAGCATTGACGTCTTCGTTGCAAGAATTGGTTGATTGGTCGTTTATCTGGAAACGATTTTTCCCTAAGCCACTCGGACGCTCAGTGCTCCGTTTTCTGGGCTGATCACGAGAGAGGGTCAGTCTCCATTATTTGTATTGATCTCTCGTTGGCCGAACCGAGGTCGATCATTCCAAGGCATTATCGATAATTTGAAATAATCCCCCACCTTGTATACCAAAGATTTTGATAAAGAGAGTTGGGTTCCATTATAGATAGATGTGGGAAGTTGGAATTATTTAAGGTTTATCACAATACTTACGACGGCATGATATTGAGGATAAGGCGAATAAACGTATCTACTCGGGGCCTCAACCAATCCTTCGGGATGAGCTCTAAAATTGTATGACGTATCGCTAGCTGCCAGCAACGATAATTCCAAAGGGATTTAGCAAAGTCGATACGAATAGACAATGTATGACATGAGTCGCACTTTTTGCTGCGGTTCCCATATCCTCAACAGCTGAAATGGCATCCCAAACTCAGATGAACAGCAGTAATGATCGTGATTCCTACCTTGCTTCTCGTACCGATCCATGCAGTAGTCGTAATGTGTTTGATAGCTGAGTAGTTGACAGCAAAGTTTCTCAAGCAACTTTGTTGAACATGTAACACGTATGGTCAAGGAAGCCAAGGAGCTGAACGAATTCATAGACTTCCAGCACCAAGTCTTGAGTGTTGTAACTCTTCTGATTTTCTTCCATTCTTGATCTTTTATGGTACCTCGTAGTCTGGAAACATTGATCTGACAATCGCAGCAGATAAATGTTGCGGTTGTCAGATCAAGGGTCCATAATTTCGAATACTTCTCGAAGCTCCCACTAAAACCAAGGAACCATCCTTCCGATTTTTTAATTTTGTCAAAAATCTCTCCTTCCTCTCACGACGGCATGAATTCCTATTGATTGATCTGTTAAGAATACTTGGCAAACGTTTGACGGGTCCTCAACATGACAAGCAAGAAACGAAATGGAGGATCCCATACCGGCACGAACATCTAACGTCGAAAGGGAAAAGCTTGTGTTTTAAGCTCATCAGCCCTCCAACTTCTCTCCATTTTGCCCGGCCTCCGAATTGTGTGACGATTATATATTTCAATAGATCATGGCACCACTCCTATTGTGTTACCTGTGTCACTTGACTACAGAAGGAAAAGTTGGTCCAAACCTTGATCTAGAATAGCCTAATGGGCAAATTCTTTCAACGGCGACTTCTGATTGATGAGCTTCAGGTCTACTTGCATGAAATACATCTAGTAGAAAGAAGCAAGCAGATATCTCAGCCAATCCGATCTCGCCGGTGTTATGCGCGTTTTCAATATGCATATCCTCCTAAAAATAATTTTCTTTTTTGTTAGAGATGCTCGCAGACACTGAGACCTGCAGGCACGGACAAGGTTTTGAGAAAGTCAAATGTGATGGTATTCATGTAGGCGTTCCATTGAACCTCGTATCTGTATATCAAGTTCCATCCTCCTCCCAATTGTGAGAGACTTGTCTCCGAATGTTAGAAAAAGTCTTCTGATCCATCCCTGAGAACGGAACCAAGGGTTTTCTCTCTTATCATTCGTCTTCGTGGATATTAGTTTAAAATAAATACTTGGGTTGCTTTCCAGTATTTGGAGTTGTACTGCTTTCGAGGGTTCTTCGGAATAATTTCTACCATTTCAAAGAGGTGTTAAGGTACGCATGCATGATTGTAGCACCACAAATTTCCGAATGTTTAGATTGGAAATACCACGTTCATTCGAAGTCCAAAAGTGTGGTATAATCTGCAGGTTTCCGAAGAGCCAGCACACAAGGAAATTATATGTCAAAAGCCTTCCTGGTGTTCTTCTCCCAAGTGACAGAGTAGAGAACATTCACTTTCTCAACCGACCTTCCCAAAGCGATTACCATTCTTTTTTGGAGTAACAACCACAATATCAACCACCTGGGCACATGCAAAAATATTTACGTTGATCAACGTTAGACACGCACCTAAATCTGAATAATATATTCACTCCCGTTCACCAAACATTTATCTTATCGGTCGCAAAATCTTCCAAGCCTCTCTCTCCATTTAGTAACATCAGCCATCCTACGTTCGTTACCATATCAGACATTAGGAACTTGACGAGAGGCCCAGCCGAGTGAATGAAGGTACTCTTAAATCTAAAATCGAAGTCAACTGCATTCAATAATCAAAAGAAGTTCCATTCGAGAACCCATTTGAGAGTGCCTCTTGTTACTCTTGTTGAGAATATATTATTTCAAAAGGTTAACGACTGAGCGCGTTTCTTTTTGGATGAGAATCATTCTTGCCTAATCAGAGAACTTAATAAGAAAGTGACTTCCAAATCTGGCGACAGCAAATTCACGGACATACAAAATTTTCTCGGCCGCTTCTTTTCGTTTTCTTCAACTCATACTGCGATATCTACCTTCCACACAGACTTTTCAGAGTCTGTAGAAGCTTCCTAGTTGTAGGAAGCATTTGCTTTGAATCAAATTGGACAAAAAGATTTAAAACGCTCTTTGAGATTACTTTGCAGAATTCGAATATACTCAATAATTCGTATTCAACATGGCAATATCATTCTTCGTTTCCTGGCAATTGTGGGAAAAGATGACGTTTGTAAGTTTTCTACATCTCCTTTGCCTGCAACTGACCCACTAATACATATCAGGTTTTGGGATGTGCTATTGTGGCAGTTTTTTGCGCGGGATATATTAAGTTATTATGGACAAACAGAATAGTTGCTAGACAGGAAGTCATTAATGAGGAGAAGCGCATGAAGATCCAAGAATTACGGCAAAGCGGACAATTTGTCGAACCCATGAAAGGCGTCGAAATCCCATTCGGAGTTCGTGCCATTCAAAGTGGGATTCAAGTGGATGGAATATGGATATCCGGAACCAATACTCCTGTGCCTAGCATCAAACTTCAGCGCCATTCATCTTTTGAACTCTCTTCTCCAGATTCAAGCTCCAACGCACACGCATCTCCCGATAGTTATAATCGCCCAACACCTCCTAAAGCCGGTCAGTCAAACTTCCGATATAGCGAATCTGCATTACTCTCAAGCCACAGAAGTATCAGCGATGATGATACTCTTATTACCGATCCCCATAGTTCATCTCGTCAACGAGCAACCTACAAGCCAACAAAGTCGTCGCAATTACGTTTTGGAACAGTCGGAGAACATCAATATGATGAAGAGACACTTGATCATCTCGTAGGAAATTCAGAAACCGGCAGAGTTTATACTCACAAACCTCGTGGAGGTCGTCGATCAGATGCTTCGATTTCACTATCACTCTCTGATGCTGCCGCCGCTGCTGATAATGAACGCTCATCTGGTACTTCTGATGATTCTGATGAGACTTTTTCTCGTGTTAGACATCCACAACCGAATCGACCTTTCAATTATCCTACCCGAACTCCTTCTCCAGAAATCTTGACTCCCGCATTTCCATCATTCTCTCACCAACCAACAACTAAAGGCAAGGGTCAATATTCCTCAATTCCTCTTTTCCCTGAGGATGATGAAATGGACCCATTTGCATCGCATCATCTACGCAGTATGGACAGAGCACATGGATCTAATCTTCAAGCGGTTGAAGATCAACGATATACTGAAAGCACCATCGAGTCTAAAGTCCCACTTCTTAAGAGTCGCTCTCCATCTTCGCAATTCATACCTGGAGAACTTCATCAAAATAAGGCAATCAGGAGAGTCAATTCTGGTTTTGAGATTTTACCTGCAGGCACATTCGGTACTCAGCCGCCTATGCACATCAAAGGAAAAGGTGTAAACCGTCACGAGAGTTGGAATGTCAATAACCCTGATTCATTAGCACCACTACACCCAAACAAGCTACAGAAAAAGACAAGATTTTCCGTGGTTTGAACAGTGACTGGAAATAAGACGGCGTAGTCAAACAGGTATGCTGACCAGTTTGAGGTGAAGATATTACGAATGAACGACACATAATGGATTAAATGGACGGGCAGAGCAATTCAAGCATCATTGGCGTTACATATTATGGGGGTGGTGTTATATCAAATTTGGCTGGTGGGGATTAAAATCGTTTTCAATATTTCATAGCTGAGTATTATTGGTGTCTGAAGGGAATGGGGAAAATCGTACATTTGCTTTGTGAGAAGGGAAATTTGGAAAGGAAAATGAATCATATTGCTTAGGTAGTCTAGCTTAATGAGTAACGATGAGATGTATGATGATAGATGATAATTACATATTCAAGTCCTTTTTTCTTCTTCGTTTATGTTGGGTTGCATTTGTTCTCTATTGATCTCGAAATGAGAATTTGGTGCTTGTATTTTCTTCAAACCAGTCTCTCTCATCCCGTGTCCGATAATGACCAACAATTTCGTATTAGCACTCTCAACTTGAACAAATTCTTACCTCGCTAGCACTAGCATCCTCTCCAAATCCTACGCTCCCCACACTCCCCGGGCTATGGACCAAAAAGTTTTAGAGAATAAGGATGATATTTGTTCTATTCTTATTCGGTCTACAGCTACACTGCTAAAGCTTTGTTGTCTACATGCTGCCACCGCGAGATGTGGCGCAGATGGATTGTAAATAGATTTTGGATCCTCGAATAATGATTCTTGGGTAAGTCTTTGTTACTGGAAAAGGGATAGGGTTTTCTGTTTAGTGTGTAGATCATATCTTAGATTCAAAAGTTGTGATTGAGAGGATGTTTTTCATGCATGTTTGAAGGAGGAGGGGGACTCGAGAATTTTGGTGCATGGAGTGCATTTGGAGGGAATTTATAAGGGGTCCAATCACTTGCATCGAGAGATTGTGTTGGAGAGGGTGAGGATGCTATTTTCAGACAAGAATCTACATATTCAGGTTATATTTATTTATACAGGAAATTCCTGAAGAGGTGAAGAATGCTCGGATATCGGACTGTTTATTGCTATTGCATTTGTGGAAGAAGCTTTCGGAAGTATATCCTCATTACTATTAGAAATTTTCTTGCCAAAGACAGTCTTCAAATTCAGAGTATTGGGTTTGTGTTATCATAACACAACTGGGATTCCTAAATGAAGCATGATATCCATTCTGTAGATAACTTGAGAGTAAGTAGACGGACGGATTAATCTCGAAAGGCACTTGGGTGTGAGGCCAAGGAAAAGCTAACTTGAAAAGCTAACTTGCAAAGTTATGAAAGGGGTTTTGAAAAGCTGCATTTTTGGGTGACTTGGAAGAAATAGACAAAAGAGACTATAGAATACTCATTAGAATACGACTCATGAACTTACATTTATGTCATCTATGACTTGCCTACACCATGACATCGAGGTTGGCCGATGACTAATACAGATATTCAAATCATGTGAAATCGTGATTTTGGCTAATCTTCGGGTGCACGTTAACAACGCGTTCATTCCTTCCAAGAATTAATCGTCACATTTCAACAACACAAAAGCCTACTCGATACCTTCATTTAATCCGTTCATTCTGAGAATTCACCAAACTACTTTCATTATAATTCAAACATCTCGTCCATAAAATGACTTCAGAAGAAATCGAAGCCTCTCAATCTGGGGACGATGGAGGAATGGGAGGTCCTGGTGCACCAACGCCACTCTCTGCCTTAGAGGTAAGCCATTTCTTCTCCTTCATTTCACACATTTTCTAATCATCATGTCAGGGTGTTGCAGGTCTAACTAAGAGAGACATCCAAATGATCGTGGATGGTGGTTACAATACTGTAGAGTCTGTCGCATACACGCCGCGGCGAATTCTAGAACAAATTAAGGGTATCTCTGAGCAGAAGGCCACAAAGATTCTTACCGAAGGTCAGTTATATACAATGACTTAAAGTCTTTCATAGACTTGCTGACATCTTAATAGCATCGAAACTGGTCCCTATGGGTTTTACAACCGCCACCGAAATGCATCAACGAAGAAGCGAATTGATCTCCATTACGACCGGTTCTAAGCAATTAGATACACTTCTGGCAGGAGGAGTGGAAACAGGATCTGTTACCGAAATATTTGGAGAGTTCCGTACTGGAAAGAGTCAAATTTGCCATACTCTAGCAGTTACCTGTCAATTGCCATTTGATATGGGTGGTGGAGAAGGTAAATGTTTGTATATCGATACGGAAGGCACATTTCGTCCTGTACGTTTACTTGCGGTAGCCAATCGATACGGCCTATCTGGAGAAGAAGTACTGGACAATGTTGCATATGCAAGAGCCTACAACTCAGATCATCAATTGCAACTTCTCAATCAAGCAGCACAAATGATGTGCGAAACTCGATTCTCTCTACTTATCGTTGACAGTGCCACCGCACTTTACCGCACAGATTTCACAGGAAGAGGTGAGCTATCTTCTCGACAAATGCATCTAGCAAAATTTATGCGCATGCTTCAACGGCTAGCCGATGAATTTGGCATCGCTGTGGTAATCACTAATCAAGTTGTTGCACAAGTTGATGGAGGACCAAGTGCCATGTTCAATCCAGACCCTAAGAAACCTATCGGAGGTAACATTATTGCACATGCAAGTACCACTAGATTAAGTCTCAAAAAGGGTCGTGGAGAGACTAGAATTTGCAAGATCTACGATAGTCCTTGTTTACCAGAGAGCGATTGTCTTTTCGCTATCAATGAAGATGGTATCGGAGATCCAAGTCCAAAAGATCTTGAGAAGGATTAAGAGGGGTACTTGATTGGGGTAGATGCATCATGATTTTATGGGGTTCTAACGGTTATTTGTTTTTCTTTGCTCTTTAGCTGGCATGGAGGCATGGTAGCGGTCATGGGTGACAAATGGAGCTTTTAGGGTGAACTTGGGAGGAAAGGGTTCTATCATTTTCATCAATGCGAAACCTTTATGAATAGAAATGTTTGTATTTGGTAATTTAGTAGCACATATCAATTTCTATAGCTATGGGTAATACCTACTTGATACGAAGTTTGCATTGAGTGATAGCTTACAATGAAATATATATGGTAGCTGGAAAAGCGCGCTAGCGGCCGCCTACCTAAAAAGTGAAGCTCGCCGCGATCTCTAGAAAGAACCGCGTCAAAACAAAGCATGCGCCAACCTCTTGACACTCACCAAAACTCTTCATGAGACCAGCGATTGATGGGGATAAGATGGCTGATAAGGGACATTTCTACTCCTATAAGGAGATACGACTAAACCTCGATTCATCCATTCAAAATTCTACAATTGCGATTCGTTTACCTGCACATGGCACTCCAGCCTCAAGAATAGCACAAAAGCGACCTCATATTACAGAATCACCTGTTGCAGAGGACGAAAAGTCTTTCAAACAAAAATACTTAGCTACTGCTGGATCTATTTACCATCGCACACAGGATGTCTTTCCCCGAAGCTATTTATGGAGAGTGTTGGAGGATGGAAAGGTGCTATCAGTTCAAGCGGTCGATGTATCGAAACAGCAAAATACGACGGATACACACCTTACTCTGAGATTACAATTCCCAAGTGCTATTAAGCCTGGGTGCATTGCTTTCGCGGATTGCAAGGAACACGACTATGTCAGCGCATTTGTTTTGACGGAAACGCACCACCTTTATACTTTAAGACTTTGGCCAGATTTCTTTCGCAATCCTTCGAGCACTGAGAATAATGTTGGAAATTGGTGCAAATCATATATATCATCGGTATTCAGCTTCAAGAAACCTCATAGGATGGTTGCGCTTAGTGCGAATGAGTTATTGATCTCTAATTTCGACGGAGGGCTTCTAAAGTTAGACAGAAAATCTGGCGGAGATGGTATGTCAAAGCTGCTTTCTGGAAATGATGTGGCTAACTGACAGGTAAAATAGGTTCCGAGTGGAAAGAACTACATTATAATCCAGGTGGATGGAGAGATGGGTTGAAGGCCTTGATGCCGTTCCAGGGAAGCAACACTATTCGATACGCAAACAGCAACATTGAATTATCCGCAGTTACTTCTATATCTTCACCATCATTTAGCATTGATGGGCAATCATATGCTTTCACGGTATCTTTGGATCACAACCTTCGAATTTGGAACTTGACTACCGGACGAATCGCATACGTTGGTGATATTCTCGGCCAGGAAATAGATCCTAAGAACCCTAGAAAATCCGTGATCGATCCTTCATATTCACAATTGGTCAAAGTTTATGGCCATAATAATGAAAGCGCTGTATGTGTTACATATTCCCCAATTGGTGAAGGACAATTCAAGTTTTGGCATGTCACTCCCGCCGCTCAAAGCGGAGATCTTGTCGTATCAGATTCTTTCCCCAACAACATCTTAGTCCCCCAAGCGCCTACTTTAGACCTTTGGACTATGGCAGATTTTTCAGTCATTCCGGATAGAACAAGAAGCTCCTTGACCTTGTGGACTTTGTGGAAAAATAATACAACCTATCGAGTTCAAAAGCTTTACTTTGGAAGTGGTGGTGAAGAGGAAGTTAAGCAATCGTGGGGTGAGGGCTGGGAAGCTATGGTGAGCGAAAGTTTGACTCAAACGCCCATACCTACCGTCTACCCTGGCGATGCTTTAGATTCCACCGACAAGTGGTTAGCGTACATACTATATCCTGGTAAATTCACCCATGCAACCATCGAGACTGGATTGGCCATCTACGAAAGAGGTCTAGGAACATCGAGAGATACATCGCGGAGATCCGCACCTTTACCTGAACGTTTATGCACAAGCATTGCAGCTACCGCCACGTTAGGTAGAGCACCAGACGGAGGTATCGATTTTGAACAATTTCGTCTTGCCACTGATGCACAATGGAGGCGATTCTATCGGCTGCTCGTTGAGCTAGACAAACAAAGAGGCGAAGCCTTATCTTTAACTATTGACCCTATGGGAGAGATGCCTTGGGTTGTATCAGCAGATGGAATATCAGCAGTCCGAGGTTGTAGCGAGTTGGAACGAATATGGCATAACCCTGAACAGTCTATTGCTGGAATGGAGTATGTATCCACTCTTCTCACAGCTGGTTCCTTATTCGGCGAGGCGGTTCCAGACGTTCTTTATCATGGCTTTCGCTCTGCCTTGTTGGGTCAACTTTATGAGGAGCCAACGCTTCTTCCATCAGCGAGGATGAAGACTTTATATGATAATTGTGACTACTCGAATCAAATTGGTGATGAAGAGTATCATCAACTAGTAACAAATTTGGGAGGGACATTCAGAGATGTCAATTCGCACGTGTACGAAGCTCTTCTTGAATCTATGATCACTTCTATTGGAAAGGACTCGAAGCATCCTTTGCCTTTAGCTAACGCGGGTAATCGATTGATTGTTAGAGGAGTTCAAGAGACTATTGAGTTACACAAGAGCATTTGTCTTGATCAACTTCTTTTGTTGATACTTATTGAGGTTGAAATTAACCATGGAGAAGAAGGTATCCAATTTGAGACTGGTGCGGTCTTCAATCAACTTCTAATCCTGCTCAAAAGGCTCGAACTTCTTTCATGGTTGGCTAAAACCCAGATCGATGTACCTCTTCCCACTCGTGAAAGCTCAAAATCATTGGACGATTCGACATCCAGTTTGTCTAGGAATCCAATATTCTACGAGACTGTCACTGTTCTAGAAGGTGTTCATAGACATTTATTCGGATTAGACAAGGCAGTATCGATGCCTACAGCCTTGACAGACTTCATTACTGAACTATGCAAACCTGATAGCAAATACGAATCTTCACCTGCTATCATTCAATGTTTCTTATTGAAGCATAACCAGTCTGATTTAGCAATGGAGTTTTCACGCTTCACTGACCCTGATTCGTTCTCTACATATATTCAAGGAAGAGCATACCTGGCTACTAATGACCCACGTACAGCAGCATTGTACTTTAAGAAGGCTGCATTCGGGATGGGTAAGCTACAACTCCCGTTAATCAGTTTTAGACTTGCCATGACTAACCACGATTTCTAGCATTTCCATTGTACGGCAAGCACGCAACACATAGTGCAGGCCTACTAGATGAAACAGAAAAGAATCTTCTGAACGCAGGTCTTCCAGAATATTATTCCCACATTGTTTCTCTATACGACAACGAAAAAATGTACTCCTTCGTTATCGATTTCTCCCGTCTCGCCCTTCAATTTATCAAACCCAATCAACATGATCCTCAACTCAGCACCGAAATGCACAGTCGTCTCTTCCACGCTGCTCTCCAAACCTCTCGCTACGAACTCGCTTACTCAGCCCTCTCCCTCTTCACCAATACCGCTCTCCAAACATCCTCCCTCAGATTGCTCATTACAAAAATGTGTGAATCTTCTCACGCTACTCAGCTCATTTCCTTCCCTTTCCTTGGTCTTCAAGATCTCGTCGATGATATTCTTTCCCAGAAATGCGCAAACATCGTAGAGGTCACAAATGGGGTTCCATACCATAAAATCCTTTACGCGTGGCGAATTCAACGTTCTGACTTCCGTGGTGCGGCAGCTATCTCGTTGGAGAGACTATATCGTCTCCAAGCTTCGTCAGAGAGTGATAGTAAAATAGGAAGTGGAGAAGTAGGAGAGGAAGGAGAGACATTGGTTACGAAACAATACGTCGCGGTTATCAATGCGCTGAGCTGTGTGGATCCGAAACATGCCTGGATTTTATGTGAAGGCGGGAAAGGAAAAGAGGGAGGAAATGGGGGAAGAGGTGGTGGTAGAGGTCTGTTAAAGGGCGGCAAAGAGGATGCGAATGGGGGTGTTAAGAGAAGAGTGGTTACGTTGGCGGATGTTAGGAGAGGATATCAGGAGGAATTGGATCGTGTGGCCGCGATAGAAAACGGGAGATTTAGTCTAGGTGGTGGAGGCGATGGAGATATTATGGAGATGTGAGACGGAATACGAAAATGAGCGAGGAGGAAAGCGAGCAGGGAGACGAGGCAGCCGGAATTGCGTTGATACAATAAATAAGGAGTAATGTAAGCCCGGTGACAAACGAGATAAGCAGAGCAAAGCAATGGGCGTAAATTATCGGATTGGTTTTGATTTTGGTAGGCATTTCTTTGATGGATCATGATGAGATTGATCGCTTTCGAAGTATGGTTTCTTTTTGGTATCTTTTAGGCAAATGTTGTGAAAATAGAAAATTTACATGAAATGATAGAAATTTACCATGAAGATGTGAAGCCTCTCTTAGCTCCGGCTTTGGAGTTTGATGCTAGTGGTGGTGCAAAGCTTCTTCGTCGAGGTTATCCATCCTAGAACGTGGACGGCGATGATCACATGTAAATGGACACATAATTTCACAGTTAAAGAGTCTTGATCTTAAATGTTTTCATTCGTAATACGCAGACGCGATTCTCAATATCCGAGCATTTTCGTCCTTACTCCTAAAAGGAAAAGTGACTGTATGCATGTGAGTAAAGAAGAACCCCGCCATATCTATCTATCTATCAAAGCCTACCACCTTGAGACTCGTATTGTACATCCATGAAAATGCCCTTCCCATATGAAAAAATTCTTGTCATCAGATAGGTATCTCCTCATGTCTTAATATCTTTACTGGATTGGCTTTTCCCTTCAAATGATCAGATCGATTGATCTATCTGTCTTTGCCCATTATGTAAAACTCATAAAACGTGCACGCAAAAAGGAAAAAAAGGAAAAGGAAGGGGAAAGGAAAACGGGCTGTTGGTATCAACGTAACAAGAAGAAAAGTAATCAGTTGAGGATCGATGAGGGATATTTATTGAGCAGAAAGTCGTTTCTGTGCCGCTGGACTAGGAGCAGAATGTGCACCAGCAATCTTAGTCTGCTGACCAAGTGCTAAAGCATCTTCTGGCTGTTGACGGTAAAGAACGATTTCAGATTGCTTAAAATAACGTCGGGCATCTGTTCAATTATTAGCTTAGGTGTGAGAAAGAGTCAAAAGGGAGAGAAAGCTTACCCTCATCGATGAGAACTAAACTCAAATAGTAGCGGGTGGAGTATTTCTTGTTGACCTCGCGGAAAGTAGGAGTCAAATCAAAGCCGCCTAAGAAAAGTCTAATGGGAATGGTTTCTCCTCTTGATGGTGAACCGTCCATAATCTCAAATCGTACCAAAGTTTCACTCTCATTGTATTGGTTGGGAGGTGTTCCAGTAGTTTCGCGTCGAATGATAGACAATTCCATATGTTTGATCTTGAGACGAACGAGTAAAAAGTAAATGCGGCCAACGATAACATCTTTGAGGTGGTATTTCGATTTCGAGTATTCAAATTCGATATGCAAGCAATCCTCAATACCAACATCCATTTTGATGGAACTGTTCATCTCCGGAGGAATTCTGTAAGAAAATACCCAAAGGTCTTTTTCGCGGATCACATCTGCCATCCGTCTAGAAACGGTGACCTTGATAAAATAACGTAACTTGACATTAATGCCATTGTAAGATTCGTATTGTTTTTCGACATTTTTAAAATTGAAGTCGTAAGCTTGCGGATGTTGTAAATCACCAGGAGCAGCAAGCTCTTGTCCCAATGAAAGAAATTCGTAGTGGTTGCCTCGGTCGTAAAACATCTCTGTTAGGTTTCGTGTTAGTAAGTTGATGAGGAGATGTAGACCAGATCTGTCATGAAAGATGGAACTTACCAATCATTCCAATAAACTGCACTTTAATACCCGTGTGCTCTAACCTTTTCCCATCCTTAGGTCTAATGGTGACAGCTCCTCTCACTGATTCGCCATCTTTGTAAAGCGGTACCCTTTCCTTGCTACTCTTATTCTTAACCTCTACTGTCTCCCGACTATCTCCATCTTCTAGAACGATGTCAATATCGACTGGGGCAGAAAATAGGAACGACATATTAATAGCCGTTGGAGAGAAGGACGTTGTATTGATCTTCGTCAATCTGAGACTGATGAATAGCGCTCACTTGTTTGAGCCAATTTTCCTCGAGCTCCCAACGATTTCTGCCTTCTTGTGTTAAGTCTATAACGAACTGGTCGGTAAGTTTGTCGATATTGGCTTTTCGATAAATACGACCGCTTTCTTGAAAGTCACTATCAAAGCCACGGCAGACCTTGATACCTAGGGAACTGTTTGTCTTTGCAAGACTAGGTTTGAATTGTCCAATTACAACTTGCGTGTCAGCTGCCAATTGATCTATCTTCAATTTTCGATCGAGCTCATCAACAATGACGCCGTGGAAATTGGATGTGGCTGTTGCGACCGAATTGTCGGGTTCAGTGCCTGGTACGAATTCGGGGTGGATGGGTGTGAATGGTGCGATGCGATGTTTTTTAAATTGGTAATTACCAGATACAGATCGTCCAGAAGTATCTGTTTGCTCTGACAAGTAATATTCTGTGCCGTAAGTTGGAATATCTCTTGTGCGAGGAGTTCTGGTTGAACTGCCAGAATAGCTCTCATGGAGCAACTCTGGGGGGTTCCTGACAGTTGATTGAGGGCCGTGCTTCGGATCTTTGTTCTCCCGAACTCCGTCAAGCGGATTTCTGTATGCCATCACTTTTTGGTTATTGAGTTGTAAGTGTGGAATTGTTGAAGTTTCCAAAACAATAACAACCTTTACCAGTCCAAATTGCAGACACAGCAAACTCCAAATTCACCTTATCAAAAGTACGCTGATTACATAAGCCGTAATTAACCGCACCGTCACATCTCGTGATATCAATCTTCACAGCAGAGTTGCACCTGCAGCTCCAGCTCAAAATGTCACTCTCTAGCTATGTAAACAGTGAGTTTACCCTTTTTTCGCCTTCTTTCTGTCCCTTCCTCTTTGAATTGTTCATTCAATCACTCCTATTATACGCGCAAACTATAAAAACAAGCAAGACTTACAACCGCATCCTAACAGCTCCTTAGAGAAAGTTCTAATCTTAACTGCGGATTCAAGAACACTGGTCGGTACGCTTTTGAGTTGTGATCAACAGACTAATTTGGTATGTCTTCCTTCATTCTTTCCCTAATTTCAATTCTTTCTCCGTCTCCCTATTACTCTTCCCTGTTCTCCCCTAACTTATCATTTCTCTCTGCCCCTCCAATCACTAACACAAACCACAGGTCCTATCCCAGACTATCGAGCGCATAATCCGACCTCCAGAAGATATCGAAGCTTCCAGTGAAGTCCCACACGGTCTCTATCTAATCCGTGGTGACAATGTGGTTGTAGTTGGATTGGTGGACGAGGAGCTGGATGACAGCATTAATTGGGTGGAGGTTAGGGGAGCTGTCATTGGAGGGACGAAACATTCATAAATCAATGTCCTTAATCGAGCACTGCTCACTATGGATCAGTGTCTAGGGGCATGGCATTGGGTGGACGGAATAGACGACTGCAAATGAGGGAAATCAAGGGGCCGAAGAAGGAAGGAGAATGCGCGGGGAGAGATACCAGAATTTGGCATTTACAAAAGTACGGACGAGCGTGAGTGCGTACTAGATGGGTGGAATGTTATTAATGTTGCATTATTTGGCGTTGAATGGAGTGCCATGAGAAAGGTCCTTTTTATATCCATCCTTTTGATATTGTATTGGCTATGAAGATGGCTCAAGCGAATTCGAATATCAAGGGAGATCTACCAAAATTCGAGATTATATATATCATTGGATCAGTGAGGTGTAACTAAAAAGCATGTCAAGGCATTTTTCAGATAGCTCAAATTTTCATTTACCAAATTAAGCTTCTAAGTAGAACACATCTTTATCCAACGTGATGGTATGTACTGTAATCCAAAAGTACTAGGTATTCAAACTATGAAGTTTATCCAAAAATTCTTTCCAAAAGATAAGGTCCAAAAGCTTCCTCTCCAGGAGTACCAACAATTCTATTGACTCTGTTACCCTTGTGAACACTGAGCCAGCCACCATTATCTCCAGGCTCCTCGGCTGTAACATCACCGATATCGTTATTAATATGAACGACGGAAGCGATGCTTTCCATTGGATCTCTAATATCAATAGCTCCAGGGCTCTTGACTTGTTCAACTCCTGCCTTCTTTCTCATACGTCTGTCAACGATATGCATACCTCTAGTCCATTGACCAGATGTTTCAACTCGAATATCCTCTGGTCCTCTTGGGAAAGTCATCCAAGTAGGAGATGAACGAGTCAACATATACCAGATACAAAGTGGATCATGTAACTCGAGACCTGGGTTTGATGTTGCATTTCTACCAAGAGAGTTCATTTTCTCATAAGTCTTGTGTACAAATACAGATACCCATTCCGCAAGAGGACTTCCAGCTTTGATGAGGGGTTTCAACTTTGCTTGGAAGTCTGACTTCATTAACTGATGTGGAGTTGTAATATCCAAGGGGAATAATGTTAAGTTAAGTTTCCTGGAGAGGTTCGTAGGATATGGTGGAAGGGTGGACTTATTCAAAGGTACCGGTGGCATGGTAGTAACTGGGTTTGGACCTGTAAGGGCAAATACTCTGGCAGTTGCGACCGCGTCTGCATAGGTATTGAATTCAGCGACAGGGGTAATATTACCCTCTACATCGATCGCACCACCCATTACTACGACCTCCTTGACTCTTAAAAATGTTTCAGTATCTTCCGCAGCAGCCAAAGCAATATTGGTCAAAGGTCCAACGCAAACAATTGTAATTGTATCTTTAGGATTTTCTCGAAGTAAGCGAAGCATTTCCTTATGAGCAGGAACATGAGAAGCTGTGAATGATGGAGATGGAGAAGCGAGTAGGCGGGCCTCGGCAATTTCTTCAGCAGTAGCATTCTCGGGAGGAGGTTGGAAAAGTGTCTTCCAAGTATCGGCGGGAGATAGATGTGGATGCTACAAAGGAATACGTCAGGTGGCAGTCCAAAGAAGAGCGGAAATTGAAGGGGCATATTTATCTTACACTGGTATGAACACCACCAAGACCATCGACACCATCTATTGCCAGGATTAGTTGATACTTCGTATGGAGTTATTGATAAAGCTCTTACGGAAGTAATCTGCCATAAGCATCTCGTCCTCAAGTGGATGATCTGCTCCAACAGCCACGATAGGCTTTGACTTCTTCATCGCATCAAAGCCCTCAAGTTGCCCACGCCCCTGTCTCCATTTCAGTTCTTGTTCAAGGACATGAAATAAAGCTACACAGTTCTTCAAACAACTTTTTACTTGATTAGCAAAGTTAATGCTGACGATATCGATGTGATTTTCTCAATGTACCTATCAACTTCAACATTTCCATAAGTTATAGAAATCATCATGACATCTAGCTCTTCTGGCTTTGCAGCCAGGGCTAAGAGAATGGCAAGAACATCATCGATACCTTTGGGAAAATCCCTAATCAGTTTTATGATCTTTCAAATAGCAATGAATCAAAGATCTCACCAGGATCAGTATCAATAATGATACGATTGAGAGACATTTTGATTGAGGTTGTAGTTTCTTCTTGTTCTCCCTAAGCTCTCTCTGATAGTGCCCCTCCTAAGAAGACTTGATGATTGATTGTATAGATAGAATGCAGAGGAAAGAAAAGAATAATAATGATAATGATAATGATAATGATAAGGGAGTGAACTAATAATCTAAACGGTCTAGCTGAGTAATGATTAGCTGGATTAATTGTTTAACTAGATGTGTTGTAGACAGGTAGTTACCATAAGTTCAAAGAAGTATGTATGTGTGACGTCCAAAAATGTATATGTATCTCTTATCCCCTCGGTTTACTCTAGTAGGTAGTCTACTCTAACAGTCTAGCATACAGTAGCAATCAAGCAATCATCTAATTACTGGTACAAAAGTATGTTTATGATTCAGACACCCCACCTCTTGTCCTTATGTAATCCACTTAGACAGCTCACCAGTGGCTTATTCACATTCACCACCTCGAGACCAGCAAAAAGAAATCATCTAGTCACATCGGTGATTCGGATCTAATTGATCCGATACAGCTCTTACCCAATTAGGTTCCCCTGCATACACTTTAAAAAGCAACGCTAGAAAACATGGGGAGCTCCAATAATGATTAGGATTTGATTTGATCCGAATACTTTTTTAGGGTCGAGTTGGTCTGTACTTATTAATCTTAAAGGCCACATCTCGATACTGTTTCTCCTCAAAACTCATACGGCGAAATAGGGTTTATAACCCCCCATCCTCTTTTTGCTCTCCTACTTACAAGGACATTCTTTTTCTCTTTCGAGTATCATAAATATTGAAATCCTTCTTCAAAAAATTGTCATCTCGACGATTAATTGAATATCACTTTGATTCAATTCCACACGAAGCAGAAAACCTCTCCGTCAGAACATCTCCTGATGTCCCAATAAGTCGATCGATCGATCCCCAATTCGAGAGAGCTCTAGAGCTTGATTACGACATCACTTTGACATTTCACTATCTGCGGTTTATTCATCATGAGTAGCACAAGTTTACTCACCACTGTTATCGGCTGGACTGTTGTCCTCGGTGCAGCAGGATACTACTACGTTAACAACAAATCTAAGGTCAAGGCTAAAGCTCAAACTGCCATCAAGCAAGCCACTAAGGATGTTGAAGAGCGCAAGGAACCAAAATCCAAGAAATCCAAGAAGGATGCCTTGAGCAGTGGTGAACAAGATAAAAAGTCTTCTGCCAAAGCTGAAAAGAAGAAAACTCCCGCTCCTCAAAAACCCGAACCCAAACAAGAAACTGTTAAACCTGTCGCCAATGATTCCGATGATGACGATAACGATGCGGAGAACAACCGTAAATTCGCTCTTCAATTCGCCAAAACTCAAGCTGGTACTCAATTCTCTGGTAACTCCTCTTCATCTACAACTCGTCAAAAGTCTGTCAAGCAATCTCGTGCACAAGAAAAGGAGATTAAGGACTCTGGAAACATGACCGCTGGCGATGCTGATGATGATCAATCCTTGACTGATTCTCCTGAAGTTGGCCCAACCAAGGGTACTTCTCCTGTCGCAAGTGGTATCGCCGATATGCTTGAACCTGCCGCTCCTGGTCCATCTGTCTTGAAAGTCACTGAACCTACCAACCCTAAGCCAGCCAAGAAAGAAAAGGCCAAGGCTGCTCCTCAACCTGCCGAAACGAAGAAGCAAAGACAAAACCGCGCCAAGATTGAAGCTGCCAAGGTCGCGAGAGAGCAAGAGGAAAAGGAACGCAAGGTCAAGGAAGAGAAGCAACGTCGTACCGCCAGAGAAGCTGAAGGTAGAGCTGCTAAGGATGGTAGCCAATTCATGGCCTCCCAAGCTGCTAACTCTGCTTGGACTGCCTCCTCTGCCAACACATCCAACGCTCCCGTCAACAAATTCGATTTACTCGACACCGCCGAAAACAAGACAGATGAGAAGGTCAAGGTTGTTGTTCCAGCTGAAAACTTCTCCGAGAGCGAGGTTACTGGTACTCAATGGCAAGGATATGGTGACGATGATGAGCGCGTCAAGACCATCATTGAAGATTCTCGTGAATGGGAGCAAGTTTCAAGCAAAAAGAAGAGGGCTAAGAAGGATAAGAAGGAAATTATTGGTGCAGAGGGAGCTGGAACAACAAGTTCAACCGATGAAAAAGAGTACACCATTCCACCAAAGACTGAAAGAAGTCCTCCAGGACAAAAGTGGACATCAGACCTCACTTACGTCGACAGTGACTACAATGTTCATGATGTTCAAAAAGATCTTCAGGACTCTGAATGGGTTGTTTCATAATCATCATGACTTCTCAACGTCAAGTTTTTATCTCAAGATTAAACTTTTATTCTTGATTTTTATCTGTCACCACCAAATTCGAATTTCCCATTCTTGTATTCTCATGGCGTTTGAGCCTTCCTTCACATGTACATTGTGATATTCGGGGAGGAAAGGTTACTTTTGACTGCATAGGATCTCAAATGACTTTTCTAAGAGTCTTTGTGTTGGTATCATGGATGGTGGGCATATTGCATAGGATGATGCACACACTTTGATTGACGTTTTCAAATTATCTTAATTTGATCGGCGTCTACGGTCAAATTTTATCTGATTCGTATGACAACTGGGTGTCAAAACAACATTTCAAATTTGTTCACGTTTGCGGTCTTTTACTTTTAATTTATTTTCAAGATCATGATCATGATTATAAACAATGTACTATCAAATGATATTCATGTATTTGACACGAAGGTTTTATGGATTCAGAATTTCATAGGCAAAAAAATTGATCATGATCTTAATTATTATTCTAGTCTATAGGTGATGGTGATTGTGATGTACGTGCAAATGATATGAACTCATGATATGTATTAAGCTAGATGTATGTGCGCATTTTTATCTAATTATGGTGCATCTTCTCTTCTACATCTGCTGCATGTTCATTGTAGATAATGGGAAGGGTAAGAAATCGACGCACACTCTAGACCACCCTCGCTCGCATTTACAAGATTATTAAGAAAGGAGGTCTCTCTGATTTTCAAACCGTTTGTAGTGAATTCTTACCAAAGATTCAAATATTAGTTCACATCCGTGCTTGCACTCCACACTCAATGAGTTCATCTCATCTCTCAAATCCACCACATCCTCCTCATAGTTTTATCAACATCAGATGACATGATACTGAATTGGTATCAAGAACTTACATATTTCCAAAAATGATTTGATTTGCATCTCTTCCTTCAAGCTGACATGCAGCACAGGGTATGTTCGTGGCTCAGTGGCTTGGC